TATATATAAAAAAATATATTAAAAAATGTGGAGATGATCACTATGATTTAGAAACATGGTTTCCCTGAAGAAGCAGGTGTTTAATCTTTGGCTGCAGCTGGTTGAAGACGTTTGACAGAGCTATGATGATTAAGTGTGGGTGCTTAGTCCTTGGAAATCTTAGAGCAGGGATTACCAGCAGGTAATGTCCTTAGGACAAAAGAGTATTTACTCTTCCATCCTAAAGGTTAATGACAGCTCAGCAGCTGTGATTTGTTTCCTGTGTGCACTTGCATGCTTGCCCAAAAACCTGAAGTTTTAGAGCTGCCTACAGAACAGGAATGACAATAAGCATTTCATTGCTTACAGAAAAGCTGTTTCTAGAATTTGCTCTCTAAAGATGCAGCTTCTTCGTGGCACAGTAGCTCTTTGAGCCTGGATGCATGGTAGCTGTATCAGAGTGGGTGGAATAGAAAGCCTGTATTGGCCAGGTTATTACTTGTGAATTCATTTGCTCTTTTCCTCCTCATTCTGCCTGTAGCAAGATCAGAGGCAGGAGCTGAAACCTAATTCTAAACAGAGAAGCCAGTGTCATTCCCATTTGCTCTGCAACTTTTCCCATATTAGGAAGCTGCACGTAATAGAGTTTTTGCCTTTTCCTTCAGATTTTTTAAGAAAAGAAAACACACATACTCTTGGACAAATGCCAAAGTGCACATGCTGTGAAAAGACGGTTATTCAAGTTTAAGTATTTTAAAGTGTTAGGCTTTTGCTACTCTTTTTAATGCTTTACCTATTTAAACACCAATTTAAATATTTTATTGTAAGAATGTATGTAAAAAAATTTTGGCCTTTGGATTTAATCTAAAATGCCACAGGCATTTTAACTAAGACATCAAAAAAGGTCTGTGACCATTACAGGTTCGTGATGAATCTCTGCGTTTCTAGTTCCCACTTTCTCTGAGCCCAAAATCTTCATTAAGGAGGGAAATATTTTGAGTGAGTTTGAGGTGGGAGATGAGTCTGTTTAGAGCAGATTGCACAAACTGTCAGCAGCGTAGTCCTGGAAGGGGTTTCCTCAGTCACTGGGTCCGGTCACCTGCCTTTCCAGGCAGTTAGGTCACATTATCTCTTTTGTAAACTTACAGACGTTTGTATTAAATTTAGTTGGTGTTTTGTCCCCAGTAATCTGATTTGAAGTGTGTTCCGTAACCTCAGTTCTCTGATCATTAGAAACCTAATCTTCTAATTTACAGACTGTGTTTATTTGTGGCCAGTTTATACTTGTTTGTTCCTGTACCAACACTGTCCTCCCTGAAGTAGGTTGTTTCCCTTCCTAGCACTTGCTCCTTGGTGGTTTTATAGATTTTTTTTTTTTCCCTGAATTGTAGGCTCTCCATTCTTCATATCATTTTAGTAGCTTTCTTTGCACTTGCATCACTTGAAGCTCACTTTTTTTGGTTGTTGTAATCAGAATTGTACACGAGTATTCCAGAGGAGATTTTGTGATACTGTGTGAAATTCGTATTTGTGTTGCATTCTTATCTCGTTTTTCTGCTTATTTCCATTTCCACAAATATTTCTTCAAAATTTCTTGTAAAGCCTTATATGCTGTTAATGAAAGAATGTCTGGTCTGTAGTTGCTCTAATAGTTTTTATGCCTTTTTCAATTTTAGATATTACAGTCAATAATACTTAACTGCCCCCGTATTCATATGTTTGGGAGGTTTTGTTTGTTTTTTAAAGGAGGTTCCATTTCACCAGTTCTTTTGTAATTCAGGAATGGCACAGGAACTTCCTCAACTTTCAGCTCTTTAAGTATGGCTTCCTGCAGATTATGGGAATGGAAATAGCAATCACCTTTGTCTACCATGTAACCCTCTGGTTAATGTCATCATTCTTACTAAAAACTTAGGTAAAGGGTCTTTAAGCCATATCTATATTATCTTTACAGGCCTTGCTGTAAAATGCCCTATATGACTTTCATCTTTTCTTGCTCTGAAAGATGGAGAAAGTTCATATTTAACCTAGGATCCCAATTAAAAAAAAAAGTGATAATTAGTGATTTAGGTAAAGAATGTTAGTATTTGTGCTTGTATGAAATAGACCTATTTGACTGACTGACTAGACAAAAACGGTAATGTCAGTTTTGATGGGTGTGCAAGATGTCAGAATGCAGATCGTAAGGCAACTGTACAGTTGTCAAAAGATCAGAGATATGTATGTGAAGTGTTTGTATAATTTGATACTTGAACAAGTTGTAGTGATGCCACACATCTACTTGCAGACACTGAGATGCATGTTTTGTTTTCCAGGTACTTGCCTCCAGAGTGTTTTGTAGTTGGCAAAGAGCCACCAAAGATTTCTAATAAGGTTGACGTATGGTCAGTTGGAGTAATCTTTTTCCAATGCCTTTATGGTAGAAAGGTAAGGAAAATGTTGTTTGAAAATCTTAAAGTTTTAGTGTAAATGCCTATTTCCAGTAGACTGAATTATAGTTATAAAGACATGAATCTACGTGGAAAATTACTTGTGTTACTTTTTGGTGGTGTGTGTTGATATTGCAAGAAATGTAGAAAATCTTGACTGAAACGTTATTATTTACTGAATGGTTAGCAGTTTGTATTAACACTGCAACAACTTACTATAGCATAAATATTTATGAAATCAAAGTAGTTGGATAACTCTCATGAAGAAAATCATGTGCTTATTTTTCAGCCATTTGGCCACAATCAATCACAGCAAGATATCTTACAAGAAAATACAATATTAAAAGCCACAGAAGTTCAATTCCCTGTCAAACCTGTTGTAAGCAATGAAGCCAAGGTAACTTTTCATATGATCTCTGAGTAACAGTTAAAACATTCATCATAAAGGATTCAGCTGTAAAATTGCTGTTAACTTAAAAATGCTGTGGGATGTAGTAACTAAACGTGTAGGAAAACGTAATGGAGAACTAGTATTTTGACGTTTTTATTTAAGCAAACTTATTCTGGGACTTCTCGACATTATGTACTTCAAAGCGAGACTATATATATTCCAGAAATTTGCAAGCGGTTTTAAAGTAGGCCGCCTCAAAAATTGTCTGCTTTGCTTTTTCCCAGAGGACCTTATGTGTCTCACTCAAGCTGTCTCACTAGAAGTTCTTGTGAAATACTTCTGCTAACAGTAACAAGCTCTTTCTGAAAATAGTGAATGTTTTTCTCTGCAGCCTTATTGGCTTGAAGAACTATATGACTACCAAATACCTGGAGGATATGCCTGCTAACACTTTTCCCTTTGAAAGGTCATAGTACGTGTGTATTAACTCAAAGCTGAGTTTAGAAGCATAAATTCTTAAGATTAGGAATCTATAAGATACGTTGATGCTGATTCAGGAAATAAGACTGCTGAAATAGTTGATCTGCCGCAAACATGTGGATGGCAATGTTTCTTGTATTTAAAAATCTTATTTTTAAACACCTGTAGTATCAAACTCATCTCCACAGACTAGCTATTCAGAAACAGATTAAGGTGGTTTCCCAAATGATTGCTGCTCTGAGCATCCGTAACACTAATCCAATTCTGTGAATGTGGAAGAAAACATTATATATGTGTTACTTGTTTATAAAACTGTCCCAATTTTTGAAAGATATATTAATTGCCAGGTGAAATAGAGATGTGCTTGTTGAAAAAAATGCCAGGATAGTAGAATGCCTATTCAAGTTTCAGCAACTAATTAAACATACTTGGATTTGAGACGCAAGCTGCAAAAAATTTAGGAATGATTAAGATTTAGCTTCTAAAGATTGAAAGGAAAGGAAACCTATTTCTAGAGGCTGTAACTTCCCAAGAAAATAAGTCTTTTAGGTACATAAACCCGCTGTTACAATTTGTGGTATATTTCTGTTGGTTATGTTTTCTAAAAGTAGTGTTAGTTGAGCGAGTTGCAGTTAAGGTTATGAAAATTTGCTTGAAGAATTGTAGTTTGTCCTGGGTTTTTTGTTTGGTTGAGTTTTTTGTTTGCTGTTTTTGTTTCTTCACCCCCGTTTGGAAAAATTGTGTCCCTTGAATGCAGTTGACAAATACACATTATATAACTGATAACATTACATGTTAACAGTTTATATCCCTGTCTTTTAACTTTGCCATTTTTTGTAATTAGTAGTTTTTATATGGGGGATGTAGAGAAAGAGTAGACAGTTCAGCATGGAGAATAGGCAACTTATTTTACATTCTCTGTGTATTCCATGTTCTGTTTGTTTGTTTGAAAGACTAAAATAAACTTTCAGTGTCCTCCACTCTTATTAATATTGTCACGATAGCTGTAAGAGAGAGGGAGAAATTATTCTCTGGTGGAAATGCTATAAAACAATTTCAGACTAACTTGTAAATTCAGACCACTTATGATGACTCTGTAGAATCCAAATTGTCTTTGAGATTTATAGGCCTGGCAGTTGGAACAGAACAGCTTGTAAACTGAAATTCTCATTTGGAAAACATGGAGATGAAATAAATATGGAACCTGAAATGACACTGTTAGTTAGTTTTCAGACTGCAACTGTCCTTTGATCCTCCTCACTTTTTCCTATTTTGTGCAATGTTCTCCTTTGCATCGCAGTCATGTGTCTACAGTGCCACAGAAGCATGAAATATTTTATAAACATTTTGGACACAAACTGTTACTCTGAGGATCTTGCAAACAACTCCTAACAATTCATCTGTTATGAAGGATTTATTGTGAAGAATTTGATTAAAATCCATAATGTCCAAGACCATGTGAATATATATTAACAGATGTGCATGATTTTTATTTTGTACCTTGTTCATGCTGGATATGTAAACGACAGAAGTAAATTCTAGCAGGATTCTTTGGAACTTGTATCACAGACTTTTTCCTTTAATCTCCAGTTTTTAATTGGAGCAAAGAACAAACAGCTGAACAGATTTATCAAAGAAAAGAGATGTAATTCTTTTAAATTAAGTTCTAAATTAAGTAATGATGTGCTAATCAGTTCTGTAGCAATAATAAGGATTTTCTATCATTAAATGTTGAAGCCGAGGCTCTCAGGAGACCAAATGTTCTGTGTATGCTAGATATAAGACTTTACAGAAACTTTCGGCACAAAATGATTGGCATACATCGTATGGACCTAAACGTAGGATAACATAATGTCTCAAGAACAGTCCTGAAGCTAGCTACAGAATTTTTGAATTTATTAGATATTTTTAAGTGCATGGGATTGAGTTTTTTCTGGGAAAGGAGTTCCAGCTAGCTAGTGGTTTCTTAAATAGTCTATTAGTTATTTAATGCCAATTGAACATGGCAACCACCATTGTCAAATTTCACGTTTTGCTCTATTTTGTCATGGCACGTGTGGTAATGTCTGCTTTCAAAGGTCAACTAAAGCACTGAAATTCTGTCCCTGCATCTTCCATCTACTCTTCATCTACCACACAGCTGAGTGGTTTTAGAAGCTCCGTGGAGCTCCTTTCTACTTTTTCAATCCTCTGACATGTGCTTCTGATTTTACTAAGCTGTTCAGGGATAACACATGCAGAATTCTAATTGTCTGAGATGCTAACGTTTTACTTGTAAATATAGTTCCTAAACATGGAAATACATATTTGAAGTGTGATTATTTGAAGCCAGTTAATTTGCTGATTTTTTTTTTCTGCTGTGACGTTACATTTTTTCATTGGACTCGGTAGTAAAATGTTACACTGTCATTTGAATTGAATTACATAAGAACAAGCATTTGTTTAGAAACTAGTTTATCCAGGAGAACATGCATATTTGCTTGTAAGCAGATGTAATTATTTGGAGTGGAATTGTAACTTTTTACATTTCTCTTCTAGGCCTTTATCAGACGCTGTTTAGCATACCGAAAAGAGGATAGATTTGATGTCCACCAGCTGGCTAATGATCCTTATCTTCTCCCTCATATGAGGAGATCAAATTCTTCAGGAAACTTGCATATGACTGGGCTAGCAGCATCCCCTACACCACCTACTTCAAGCATTATTTCGTACTGAAATTTCTCCAACCGAGGAATGGCATGATACCTTTGTGTAGTTTCCAGATTCAGACTTGAGCTTGAAAGCATTTGAGTGTTTTTACACAGGACAAGTTTGATAACGGTGTTTTCAGACTGAAGTCCTCCTACATAGTGTCATTTGTATGATTGGAATGGATCATGGACTGTGAATAAATGTACCCTTCTGAGAAATACCTTTAAACATTGAAGGATGACACTGCCTGTTACACACTAACAGGTATACTGTGTTTAAGACTGAAGAAAAGGTTTTTAGTTTTTTCTGGGGAACATTGTAAATAATCTTTTTAATACTTAAAGTACATTTGGTTGATACTGGAAAGTTCTAACATGAAGGGTAGTTTTTCATTATTTAAATAAAAAAGGATAGTGAGCAAATTTGAAAACACAGGAAAAATTCCGTGCCTGGTTATAAACTAAGTAAACTGCCATCTTTCCAAGACATTGATCTTTTGAAACCAAAGGAAGGAGTGTGAGACGGTCAAAGATATGTTCTGTATCAGATTCCTCAGATAAAATTGTAGTATTTTATTTGGCAACTCAGGCTTATACCTCCAAAAATGTGGTGGTGTTTCACTGAATTTAGATTGGAAGGGTGATATGGAATTCCTGGTACTTACTTCTCAAATAGATTGCTAATTTTGAAATCCGCTCAATTTTCTGAAAATACTATACTTGCTGTGGTATTGAAACTTGTGAAACTTTCCAGACTTCTGGTAAAAGCAAGCAACAGTATGAAACCAAATGCAAGCAGGTCATGTATAATGTTCTATGCAGGAATAATGATAAATTCCCTTCTAGCTCTATTGTAAATTGTTGTACAGATGTCACATTTTCAGTTAAATTTCAGCAACTTATTCCTGTACAAATGTTTAAAGTATGGCTTTTTCTAATTGGATATTGTATTTTTTTTAAGTCTCCCTCAAGGCGCTTTTAATTGCTGCTAAATGACGTTGCTTTTACTTTTGCAAAAGAATCAAATGACCTCCTTAAGGTGCAAGTCAACTGTACGTTATAGAGAGATTAAGAGTAGGTAATTCATTAACAATCAAGGCATGTAAAACAGGTCTGTGTTGGCAATATACAGTACAGTTCTTTAAGTCAGTTTATTGCGTTCTCAACCTGCAGAGCGCATTGATACTAGATGTAGAAGTTGCTCATGGTTATTCTCTATTTCTGGAAGTTCCTATCAACAAGGAAATGTTTCTTGTGGCTTGTACAGATATTTTAAAATGTGAAACATTTTCTAACTGCCTTGTATGGTAGAAACTTACTTTTCAGAACAGTGTATCTCTCTCCCATTCACTATTCTTTTTACTATTCCATTCTTGATGCTGAGTACCTGTATGTAATTTTGTCCATGTTGCAGAAAAAGGAGGCTGTATTACCACAGATTTTCATTTAGTATTGTACAGTTAAACTGTTGCTCTTGTTTCTGATGTTGCAAGCCATTTTGTTTTCATTGTATATAAAGAAACATTAACTGTCTCTTTAAGATGCTGCTGAAATTGTAGAGAATGTAGCCAAAACAGTAATAAACAATGACAGTTGAAATTTCAAGGTTTTCATTGCGTGTTTTTGCATTTCAACGAAGGGCCAACCAGCTAACCATATCACTGAGCTACGTTTAACTATTTAAAGCAAACTCTCTTTAATTACAAAAGACCAATAATAGAATAATTAATTTAAGTAACATTGGAGGTGAAAGAGGAGGATTCCATGAAACTTAAAACATCTGTTGTAATGAAGTAACCACAACATCATTTCACTGAATAGACCTCACAGAAACAACTTGTAAGTATTTCAACGGGTCCTTCTAGAATTCTTTAACTGTGGAGTAGAATTAGCTCATAGAATAAAATTGGGCTCAAATAGTGACTCTGCCTTATATTACACCAGAGTGCTGGGGCCGCATCCTTTTCACCCTCTACAGCGCAAGGCTGAGTGCAGGGTTCAAGGAGAATGTGCCATAGCTGTAGGCTCACATTAGATTTCGTTCCTTCTTACTCTGCATGTGTCAATATTGGAAGTTAAATGGAAGAATGTTTTGCCTAAGGAAAAGATGTAGGATTGTGTTAACTGTATTTTTATTTATCTGGAATGTATTATGGTTACCCCTAGTAAAGGGGAGTTTGGCCATCTATTAGTGAACTACTTAAGTAACTGGAAGTTTTACAGCTACCTAAAAATAAGGGGGTTTATGCATTGCACTAATTATGTACAGACTTGTTTTTCGTGTTGTTAGCATTTGGGAATAGGCTGTTGTGGCTGAATACATGGCACTTACTCCAGCTTTCCAAATACACATTTCTGAAACCTAAACACTCACTTTAAACAAAGTTTCATATAGAAATACATGAAAGAAAAGCAGAGTCACCATCTCATCTTTTGAATCAAAGTTGTGAGGTTTTTACCTGCAATACACACAGTAGTGTTTGTGTTAACATCTTACAGTCCTGTTAATAAAAGTTTTGTATCCCCACGTGGAGTCATTTTGCAGTCACAAGAAGACATCTGAGTTAGTGTGTTTGGTGCCTGATACTCAGCAATTTGAGCTTGGGATAGAAGTACCCCTGAGGCTGAGTCTAGAAGCCCGAAATACTACTGCTCGTGGAGGAATGCTGATCCACTCCTAGGTAATTCATGCATCAGTTATTCAGTGTGTATTTCATGCACATTTTACTAATTTCATCAAGTGTCATCCATCACTAGATTTCCTAAGCTCTCTTCTGATTTAGCAGCAGGTAGACAAAAGGAATGAAGTTAAACTTCATCAGGCAGTTTTTAATGAACCTTGGAAATAAAAGGCTTCCTTTACTTTAAATTCATAAATACTTTAAAATTTCCTGGAAGATGCTAAAATACTGCATTGCTGTAGAATTAAAAAAAAAACCTACGTATGAAACAGAGGTGACTGTAAGAGAAGTTATGCACTTTTAGCTATCATTGTAGTGCTACAGGTCATTGCAGCCAGTTAACAGTGGTTGGCTTGTTTCTGGAAAACCACCATGTTTTGGCACTATTGTTTTATTTATGTTTGCACTGAAGTTCGTCAGATTTCAGTGTGGAACATTATTCACCCTTAACTTGGTCTACGCTAGTTGATAGATACCATTTTCATGGAGGGTAGTTAATATTTTCATTTTCTAAAAGTGCTTTTAATACTCGCAAGAAGACTGGAAGGGTATCGCATTGCTGGCTGGCTGCCCAAATGCTATTGACCGCACAGACTATGGCTACGAGCAAACCGCTGCATAATTGGAGAGGCTTTCAAAAGCCCACAAAGCCGCGAGCCCTCTCGGTATGCGAGTCACGGGTGCGCGAGGTGCCGAGCCGCTGCCGAGGGGGGCTCTGAGCCGCTGGGACCCCCTGAGGGAGCTGGGGGCTGCCGATGGCGGCCTAAGCAGGTGACTGGCTAAGGCGTGTTTTAAAATAAGCAAGCCTGGAAAGGAAAACATGCCCTGGGATTTGAAGTATGGCGGGTGCTCCTGCTCCAGGTTTGATGTCTTCCCAAACATGAGGAAACCACAGGTCTGAGGCAGGGCTACCGGCCTGGCCAGGCCCGTCTTCCTCATCCCACAGCTCTCCTGGCCAGGCAGGACACGGCACATCCAGTTTGGGGAGCGGATGCAGGTTCCCAACAGCACTGCTGCTCCAGTCTTGCTCCAGATTTCAGCTCTGCTGGGGCTGAAGCTGCTCCTGTCACTGCCCGGAGGAGCTGCGGTGGCTGAGGGGCCCCGGCAGGGCAGTTGGTGGCAGCCACCCCCTCCTCATTCACCGCCATGTTTTCTACAGAGGGCTGGAACAGCGAGGGACACTGCTGGGGGAAGGGGGCTGCCAGGAAGGGTGAGAGGTGTCTCTGGGACATTTATTTATCTTCAAAGAGCCCCCAGGACTCGCTAGTCTTCTCCAGAAGTGGGAGACTGTGTTGGGGAGTGGGACCAGGGAGCCTGGCCCTGTGAGGGGGCCTGGGCAGGGTGTCAGGGCAGAAATGGCCTCAAAATTTGGAGGCAGAGTGGTAAGAGAGTCTCCCAATTTCGGTGTCTAAAACACTTCAGTCTCACAATTGCTGTTGTACTTTTTAAAAATATTTTTTGTACATATCAACTGCTGTCGGAGGGAGGACCCTGGTGAGGGGTGCCCAGCAGCACAGACGACAGTGTTTCCCCATTGTGATCTCACACTGTGACCACCAGCCTGCCACGTCTATCTGCCATCACATCACCGGGGCCAGGGCATTGTCATTTCCACAATCCCAGCGTGATCCTGCCGTGGGCTTCGGGGTGTAAATACCTCCCCTGAGGCCTGAAGCATACCTGGCTCCAGGCAGCCATGGATTGTAGAGTTGAAGACTCTGTTGTGTTCGTAGGAAAGGTAAGACTGCAAACATTTTGAGAGACAGAATGAATAATCCAGCAATTTCATGTCTCTGTGACCACAGATTGATTAAAGGAGTCTAATAAGATAAACAGAGCTCCCCATGAGTCACCAACCTGGGGGCCTGGCATTACATACCTGCCACCTAAGGCTGATGTGTTTCCAGGTGCCCTTTCCACAAACAAAACAGGTTTTACTTGGTCCTCAATGCTTACTAGCCAAGGATCCCTGAAAAACTCTCTAGTCTCTTCCAGTACCCAAGTTTGGCTCGAGTTTACTTATATCCAGACAAATTTCTCCACCTTATTCTTAAAGATGCCCATCAGTGGAGGTTGCATTACTTATCCAAGCAATCTACTCCAGTTTTTCCTAGCATCCTGTCTTTCTTGCTGCTTATTAAGCCTATTATTTCCAGTCCTATCCACTATGGCATGAAGAACAGTTCCCTGCCACGCGTAGTACATGAGCCTTGCTTTCTGTGCAGCCTCCATGTATTTCATTTTGAACTTCATGCATGCTTCTTGAGTATCCTTTGGAGTTAAGATTATTATCCTCTGAACAGGTAAGGTTCTTGCATTATTTATTTCAGATATTTAACTCCTAACAGAATGTTAGGGAAACTCTTGCTGTTGAAGAAATTAATTTTTTCTACTTTGCTCTAAGTCATTGAGTCACCTTGCAATCTTTTCATTGTGGTATATTTCCCAAGCCAGTAAAATTCTGTGCATAAATCAAGGGAAAACACTTTCCCTAGAAATCTCGTTTTGTATCTAGTGTCTCTAGAGCTAACCAGGTATCATTAAGAAATTACATGGTGTTTGAATTTCAGAATCCCCTTGTGCAAATCTGTGGGTATCTTCTTCTGTGCATCATTAAAACATGCACAGAGACTTTCTGTCTAAAACGTGGTGAAGATCAAAACCACATTTGCTATAGCCTCAGAGGATGTGCTACCATCAGACCAGCAGGTCAGCTAGCAAAGTAAGGTGTTTTCTTGCTCTTGTGGAAGCTATGCTGTGGTATTCAGCAGAGCACAACTCTGCAGCCCAGTGAAACGAGTGTTTCCTGGGAAGCGAATGCCATGCCCTCAGCCCCGAGCCCCGAGCCCAGTACTGTTTCCGTAGTTTGGCAGTTGTACTTTCAGTGTAAAAAATATAAGCAGTCCCTGGACATCACCCTTGTGTTTGCTGTTACTCTTGGGAAACCT